AAAATTTGTTAATATAAACTATATTTTCTTATATTTTAATTATCATAATTATTCGAAAAATTAAAATGTTCATGCCTTCGACTGACCTTTTTTTAAATTTTTTTTCCAATTTTTGAATTGAAAAAAAAAATTTCGTGTTAATCTCCATGAAATTTATCATTTTCTGAAAAGTTTAAAGTAATGCTTCGATATAAACTTTTTCGAAGTTTGCATTAACGTTAAATTTTGTATTTTGTAAAACACAGTTTTATATCAGTTCAAACACTTTATTTGTTTTAAAATAACCTGAATAATTTCAGAATAAAAAATTAAAAGCAAAATGACCACTATTCTTTCATTTCAGGTTGTTGACTACAACTTGCAATTATTTTGAGTGCAATTTTAGTTTTTGAAGCTGTAAAACTGTTTAAACATTTCAGTAAATTTTTTATTAAAACTTTAAGTAATAATTCTATATAATAGATTGAAAAAAACAACTTATCAATATAATTACTGCATCACACAAAAAAATGAAGTGAAATCCATCAAATTCAGCAAAACTGATCACTCCTTTCAGAATCACAACGTACGTAATGTAACTTTTTGTGCTCATTCAAATTTACGCAATAATTATTTATAAAATTGCATTAAAAGATTTAAGTAAGAAATTAATCGTTGTTGATTCAGTTTAATTTTCAATTATGATGGCTTCTCAGCTTGAAATATTTAAAATTTATCAATGAAATTTCACTAGCTAAAAAAGAATCCATCTGGTCGGGAGCATCAGTCTTCTAAGCTCTACCTATTGCATTTTTTCAGAATTTGTATTTAAGAATTTTTAATTAATTTTTAAATTATCAAACCTTTTTTACTTTATATTGTTTATTGTTTAAAAAAATGCGAAGTTAATGAAAAAATGAAACAAATCTTCGCTTATAAATTGCTATAAATTTAAAAGGTAAGAATTCATTTTATGAGATCTTGAAGTCCATAAAATTTCATTTTGTTTTTTGTTTAATCTTCATAAAATAGTATTACTAAAGTATTATTGATTTGTATTCAAATTTTATTATTTTTGACTATTTAAATTAAGGCTTTCAGTCCTGAATGAAATTTAATTTAAAATCAACAAGATTCAAAAGTTTAATTTTCAAATAAATTATTTTTGCTAAAATTTATTCCCAAAATGATTCTAAAATGCATTTTTAAAATATTATTTTACAATAAATGCTTATTTGCTAAGAACGTACTTATCATCAAAATTTTATCACATTTGATAATATCACCTCACAAATATCCACCACATAAATTCAGCGCATCAAAATATTTTGTATATTATAAATATTATTTGGAAACTTCTATTTAAACTTTTGATTTTACTTATTCTAAAATAAACGAACAATTATAAAATTGTTCGTTTATTTTAGAATTTTTTAAACAACTATGAAATCAATAGTTCTAGTTTTTTTTTTATTATTTAAAATTTTAATTTGAGATATTAATTTAATTACTTAAAACTAATAAAAATTAGCAATTTAATTTAAATAATATTAATAAAGTGTAGCAAAGTACACAGTCAATTAATTGATAAA